ATATTTAATGATAAACAATATACTCTGACAGACCACTTCTTTATTTGTAAATGCTTTTGTCTAAATTTCAAATACTAGGAAAAAATATACATGCGCATTAAACATGTGCAAACCATGGTTATTAACCTCAAATTAGCAGAACTTATAAAATTGTTTCATTAACTCAGTGCACAAAGCTCCTGATATCAGAAAGAGATGGGATGTGGGCAAAGGGTTTATATTTAATATTTTTTTAAAGTTAATAACAACAAATCCACAATTGCATTCACAGCCATTTACTTCACAATATTCATTGTCAATCAAAACATGGGTTGCAAGAGAAAAAAATGGGAGAGAAAATGCCAAGTGATTTTTAACACTGACAAAGTGCCACAAACCTACATTTCCCTATTGGTGAGACGGCAGCTTCATCTTCATACTCAGACAATAATTCAATTCCATTTCACTACTTTACTCTCTTTGCCTATAACAGGAGTGCTTCAGAGCCAAATACATGTAAATTTTCCTTTGCTCTAACACTGAAAAATTTCCTTTTGTTTGAGAATATTAAAAATAAAACAGGAAGAGAAAGTTTTCCTAGCCACAAGAAAGTCGACATTTGACTGTAATTTATTCAAAGATTTCACACAGTGGTTATATTTTTACTCTTTAAGACATTTTAACAAAACATTTGCTAGTGTTCAAATTTATATATTAAACTATGTTTTTGTATTTTACAAAAGAAAGCTTTGGGCCCAATTTGACAACGATTTGTAATTCTGGATTCAAAAGTAAAATACTTTATCCCTAGAAAGGGATGAAGTCCCTTCACCCCTCCATCTCAGTGAAATAGTCTGTCCCTATTTTCTTTGAGTTTTCAGTGTTTAATTAAAATATGATTATGGATTTATATTTTTTATTACTTATTCATAGTTATCAAGGCATTTTTCTCCCTGATGATTAGTGTTTGTCATGTTAAACAGGACACAGGAAGATTATATGCAGACACTAAGGTAAAAGTTTGTACTTCTAAATCTTATGATAGATAGTTCGAAGTTTGCCTAAATTATCCCATTTGAATGTGTGTACTTTATACATAATAAAAATCGCTAAAAGTCATTGAGCACTTTCTAAGTGCCAATCATTCCGCATGGTTTACACAATCTCTTCCTACAGCCACCACTGGAGATAACATTATTATTCCCCTTACACAAATGAGAACAGTAAAGTTTACAGAACTGAATCGATCAACACAGTTGATAAAGAAGGATGCTAGTCTGTGTTCTCAAAGGAATGGGGTAGTGATAAGTGTGTTGGTAACAATATTTCAATCACAGTTAATGAGTTGGTAAAACTGAATTTCTACATAAAATTGCATTATTTGGCTTGCCTTTCAATATGATGCTCGACAGAAAGAAAACTAAAACCCCTAAAATGTATTGGAGTTAAAAAAATCTCCTGTTCAAAAATAAGAACATGGCGGACCCAATCTGACCCACCCATATTAAATATTAATTGCCCCCTTTTCTTCTCTGCATCTGTGTGTTGTTCACAAAGCCCAAAAGAAATAATTGCACAGGAATTATATAAATTCATGTATTCTGTTTAGAAAACTGACTCACTACCAATGTTTTCAACATTATCATGATATTATAGACATACTTTTTAATAAAAATATAAATTACTGTTTATTTCTGAAGCTAATCTCGCTCATGCTAAATTATTTATGTATCCATTTTAATATGTATTTTTCATCTGACAGAACAACTCTCCTTAGGACCCTTTTACTGACCCACCTGTCACTATGATGGGGTAAACAATGTCACCTTTCCAGTGCACAATGAATTACAAAGAAGTTGCAAAGTACACCATCCATCATACTGGCACTAAGCAGGTTTCCAAGTAGATCTCAGATATCACAAATGCTGTTTAGACTGTTACCAGAAAGCCAAAATTGGAAGCTTATACAAAACAGTGATAAGATGAATGGACATGACAGCTCTTCAAAGAAAAGGGGCACTCCTCTTCTGCAAATAACCTTGTCAAAAGCAAAAGTAGTGGGGAGCTTTGCTGGCAGCCCACATAGAATAATTTAGAAACTTGTTAATGGCTCTGCTAGGTAGAAATTCATGCAAATCCAATGTACTCAAAATAAAAATCAGATATGCCTGAATCAATAGGAGCAACCTCTTGAGCTTGATTTGAACTAGGAAATGAACTGAGGGGATATAGAAAAATCATCAGTGTTATATTAATTAGAATATGTGAGTTTCAATAATACATTTAAGACATGTATATAAAATGTGCACATATTCTCTGTGCTTATAAAATAGTCACCTATAGATTGCTTTGCTTTGGAAAATCATAATACAAATATAGATATTTAAAAACTCAGTATCAATAACTTATTATATCCTGTGTTGAATAGATATTTAAATTAGTATGTCCTTACCATAATAAATTTAAATCATTATTATAAATTAAAAAAGTTATTGTCAGTGTTTTCATGTAATTTTCCTGGTTACTTTCTCAAATTATGTTCTCCATATTGAGGTGTTTGTTTTATTCACAACTGCACTTTAATTCCTTTAACACTACTTCCTTTTATTTAGGCCTAATATTCCAAACACGGAGTATATATTTCTGCATCTACAGCTAACTTTATTTCTCTCATTTAATCGCTATACTTGAAGTCTTTCCCAACACTTCTTTATTGAAATGGTAGCTTTTATACAATTTATAAATTTTAGAAGGGTCCCAAATGACTTAAGACTTCATAGGTATTTAAATACAGTCATACCTTGGTACTTGTAGGCTTCAGAACTCATCAAATCCTGTACTAATAGCATTTTGACAAGAAAAAATGCTGGAACACTCAGCACCTGCTTGAGACTCATCCCACTTGCTAGAACTTGTATGAGTCACAACACTGCTGCCCCACAAGAGAAAATTCTTCATCATTAGGTAGTTTGGTACTTGACAGTTTTAGCACTCATCACAAGTACTGGAATGAATTAAAGATGAATACTAAGGACCACTCTAATTCCACGACTTTGTAGTAGACCTTGGTTTTCTTCCTTACAAAAAAAAATTAGTTTAAAGATTTATAACTGATAAGATAAATGTATAGAAAACATCTCAGAGGTATGGTCACATTGGAACATTAAAACAAAATCCAGTGTGCCCGAAGGATGATTAAAGGGGGTCCCACAGATGAAACAGAGGCACAAGTTATAATTTCATGGTTTTTCCAGATCACCTCATTCAAGGAATATTGAATGATTACCACAGAAAATTGAAAAGCAAGTACATGGGGAGGTTTCCAAGGACACACTCAAGTTCCTGCAGGTTTTTGTTGTTTTGTGTTTTGGACGTGCTTTTATTTAGGGGCAGAGATGGCTACGCTGGACTTTAATCTACCAGGATGAAGTGGAGGCTGGGAACATGTGGGTCTTATGCAGGGATGGGAGTCTGAGAGAACATATGTGGGGTAAATTCAGAATCTGGACTTGAGATCAAAGCTTCTAAGCCAGAGAGCATGCTGGCAGCTGCCCACCCTCTGTTTTTATTAATGCAGGCTGCTTCCATTATTGCCTATCAGAAATAGTATATATTAACCAAATCAAATTGTCCGAGTCCTATACTAGAAATACTGCAAACATTTAATATTGTAATAACTTTTAATTAGTGATGATTCGAGGTTGTACCTTCCTTCATATGCAGTCCTTCTGCTAGAAGTCAGAGAATAATAAAACAGAACACAATGTTGAACCACCAGTAAACTGTGTCTCCCCACCACAGTCCACCCAAAATAATATGTGTCTATAATATATATTATATAAGGTATGGAATAAGCATGTATTTCTGCAAAGTAACTTAAAATGTTTAAATATTTCATCAAATATTTATCAGAGTTAATAAGTTGGATTCTTAAAAATGTGTGCCAATAATTAACAACAATCAGAAACATAACATTATTTCATTTGTATTAAATGAGGTAACCTATAGTTTTATAAAAGACTAAATGCGCTTATTAAATTAATGCTTTTACAAGGAGATAGAACACTTGCTATTTAAGAAAATAGTTAATGGGGGGAAGGAGGGAAGGGATGTCAGGAACGTGTATACAGGACACATGGACAAAGCCAAAGGTGGGTAGAATCCAGGGTAGGAGGTGGGGAAAATGGAGACAACTGTATTTAATCAACGATAAAAAAAAAAGAAAACTAATAGCCAATAATATATTATACCTAATCGGTGTAATGTCTTTACTATGGCCTAGGCTCTGCTCCTCCTAGATTTACATATATTAGTTAATTCAATTCTTATAACAACCTTATGATGTTGGAACCTTGATTATCCTCATTACAGAGACCAGGGAACAGCCCTCCACAAAAAACTGACAGTTGGGTAATCGGGGAGCTGAGATGGAAACTAGTCCATGTAGCAAGTCAAAGCCACACACATAAACCCAATGCCAAAAACCCACCACACCAAAAAGAAAAAGGAAAAAAAAAACAGCTAACACAGAAAATAGAAAAGTAATAATCCACAGCTGGCCCTCTAGCTCAGGTGTTTTCCATTAAGAAAGCACAAGTCCTGTATTTCAAATCTTAAATGTGTGAATAATCACTTCAATTTCCTACTCTATCTTGTGTGTATACACAGTTGCAAAACACAATCACCTCTATTTCTAGTCTTTCTGCCTATTAAAACTTGCCCTTTAAAATCAAAGAAGGAAATGAATGTGCACTACATGACTTAAGCAAAATGTGAATGACTCAGTCACATGTTCAATGCTTTTGAATTAAATTCCTGTAATGTGTTTTCACTTTGAAAATATAACAAGTAAGGTCTCAGGCAATCCGAGTCTTCCTTTCCCTTTCCTGGCACCTCCACACTGAGAACATTTAATGGTTACTTTTGTATGTTGCATCTTGCCAGTTAGTTCAATTTAGATGAAAGTTGTTGTTTTCTAATTCTATTTCACTGTAAATGACAGAGACAAATGGCCACATTACCTCGAGAGTTCCTTTGGCAGAATAGGCTGCGTACGAGTAGAGCAGATCTTGGCTGCTCTGTGTTCTGGCATCTTCACTGCAAGGCTGGCCATTAGGATGAAAGCATTGGCCACTGCTGCTCAGAGTCACAGAGCTGGGAGACGGGCCTGGCAGATTAAGCAGCACAGAGTAATTTACTGACTGCACATCTTCAAGGCCCAGAGAAGTCCACTGAGTCTTAATTGTCTTTGAAATGTCTGTGTCATCTTCACTTCTGTACAGTTGTACCAAGTTTCTGAAAGAAATTTAAAAAAGGAAACCATTATTATTTCTAGTAATGACTGTTCTATATGTGAACAATTATGAATAGCCGTGGGGCATGAAAGATGAATGGCATTGGACACTGCACAAGATACAGTTAGGTAGAGGTGATGAACTTTCACAGAAATTACACTAAATCAAAACAGAATGAACTCAGTTTTTCAATTAAGAACTAATCAAAGCACTATGGGACTGCAGAGAAGAGAGGGATTAATGCCAACTAGTTCTTTCATTAGTTCCGCTCTTTCTATCGACATCAACACAATCCATTTAAAACTCAAGCTATGAAAGCCATGTGAAGCTATGTGATTAATAGACAGCTGTTGCTATTTAAATGACACAGACAGAACTCTTTTTGATATAAATTACATGCCAAATTACATAATGCTATGACCACAGTGATACACAATAAAATCATTATATCATAGTAAAATCAAGCACAGATTATCAAACCAAAATGAAATTAATTGCGGTGTGTGCATGATAAAGTCTCTTTATTTATTTCTATACCTGTGCCATAATCCGATCATATGCTTTCTGGGTTTTGCCTATGATATCCTAGAAGCCAGACAAATAGTTGTTAAAATATGTATAGAACCTAGAACAAACTAGACATGGGAAAATAAAAATATAATCTAGCAAAGTTTTGTTTTGCTTTGGGCTGGAATACAAAAGGACTGCCTTCATTTCTGCAATATATATATATATATATATATATATATGAAGGCAGTCCGAATATATATATATATTCTTCCGATAATTTCATTGCTATCCAAACTATTAAGTGGCTATTTTTATGTCACTGTCAGTTTTGCCCATCACATTATTTTTCTCACACATACTTGCTATTTTTTGGACCCTGTTTATTCAAGAAACCCACACTACAACACCTCCAAAAAGGGAATAAAAACATAGACAATGGAAAAATACACACAAAGGTACAGGAAGTCATTACTGGAGACAGCAGGCAAGTCTATGGGCCTAGCTTGAAAGGAGGATGTAATGGCATGCAGTGCCCCAGCTCTTTTCCATCCTTTGAAAACTGTTTCTGTTCTTTTTAAAAATATCTAGTTTGACCAATCATCCATGTCATGAACATTTTATGGAAGAGCTGATGAAAGAATCCTATTGTTTTTATTTATATTCTGAATTAAGACTGGGAGCCTGCCTTCTATTCTATTTCTATGTGTATATGTGTGATGAAGTGTGATTTTGAAGGTATAATTGACAAATGAAATTGTATAATTATTTTTCAATCACATATTTAAAATGCACTACATGATTTGATATACATGTGCATTGTACAATGCTTATCACAATCAAATGAACACATCCACCACCTAACATAGGTGCCTTTGTGTGTATGTTTGTGTGTGCATTCATTGTTAAGAACACATGAGATCTAATCTCAGCAAATTTCAAGTGAGTGTATTAACTATAGTCACCATGTTGCACACTTGATCCTCAGACCTATTAATCTTATAACTGGAGGTTTGAACCCTCTGACCAACATCACCCCACTTCCCACAGTCCCCCAACCCTGGCAACTGTTATTCTACTCTGTTGCTATAAGCTTGACTTTTTTCTTTTCCTTCTAGATTCTACATATACTTGACACTAAGCAGTATTTGTGTTTCTCAGTCTAGCTTATTACACTATTGCACTTATGAACATTCTCTTGAAATTCATCTATGTTATTGAAAATGGCATAATATTTTCAAGTAGAGGTGGAGGTGATATTTACTAAGGTTGAATAATATTCCATTGTGCCTATATCCCACTTTTTATTATTCATCATCTATGAATACAGAGGTTGATTTCAGATTTTGGCCAATAGCTCCCATTATTTTAGGAATAATGCTGTAATGACCATGAGAGTGCAGGCATATCTTTCACATATTGATTTTATTTTTTTGGATGTATATCTGAAAGTGGTATTGCTGAATCATATGGCAGTTCAGTCTTCTTTATGTTTTTTGAGGAAACTTCATACTGTTCTTTATATAGACTGTACTAGTTCCCATTCCCACCAACAGTGCACAAAGTTTACCTTTCCTTCCCATCCTCACTGGCATTTATCATTTTATTGATAATGGACATTCTGACCCAGGTGAGGTGCTATCTCATTGTGGTTTTTGTATGCTCTGGCTTTGTATGCCCTGATGATTAGTGATATTAAGCACCTTTCATGTATCTGTTGACTATTTCTGTATTATTATTGGGAAAATGCCTACTCATGTCCTTTGGGCATTTTTTTTACTAGGACTATTTATGGGTTTTTGCTACTGAAATGTAGGAGTCCCTTACATATTTTAGATAAGCCTTTATCAAATACATGGTGTGTAAATATTTACTTCCATTGCATAGGGTTGCTTTTTGTTGATTGCTTCCTTTGCTGTACAGAAGTTTTTACTTTGATGTAGTCCCACTTGTTTATTTTTGCTTTGTTGCCTGTGCTTTTGTTGTCATATCTAAAAAACTAGTGCAGCATCAATGTCAAGAAGTATTCCCTTTTGTTATCTTCTAGAACCACTTCCATTTCAGGTCTTACATATAAGTCTTTAACCCATCTCAAGTTTTTTGTGAACAGTGTAAAATAGGGATACAATTTCATTTTTTTGCATGTGGATATTTAGTTTTCCCTATATTTACTGAAGATACTATTCATTACCAAATGTGTTTTCATTGCACCTTTGTCAAAATTAATTGACCATATACACCTTGGCTTATTTCTGGGCTCTCTATTCTGTTCCACTGATCCTTTTTATTCATTTTTAATTGTATTATTTTTCATTGCCATTTATGCTCCTTAAACCCCTCTTTTCTCCTGCAATGGCCATACTATTGCCCATGCCTATGAGTCCTTTTTTTCCTTTTTGCTCCACTCCTCCTTTAACCTCTCCTCCAGAGCTGTCAGCCTGCTCTCTATGAGTCTCTCTCTACTCTGGTTGTTAGTTCAGTCTGTTCATTAGATTCCACATAGGAATGAAATCATATGGTATTTGCCTTTCTCTGACTGGCTTATTTTGCTTACTATAATGTTCTCTAGTACATCAATGTTGTCACAAAGGGTAAAATGTTCTTTTTTCAATATCCAATTATTCAGGGCAAAGGACCTTAATAGACACTTCTCCCAAAAGCACCTACAGATGGCCCATAGACATATAGAAAAGATGCTCAGTATCACTAATCATCAGAGAAATGCAATTAAAACCACAATGAGGTATCATCTCACACTGGTCAGAATGGCTAACATAAAAAAGTCAACGAACAACAAGTGCTGGTGATGCAGTAGTGAAAGGGGAACACTTTTGCACTGTTGGTGAGAATGCAGACTGGTGCAGCCACTGTGGAAAACAATATAAAGATACATCAAAAAATTAGAAATGGAACTGCCTAATGACCCAGTGATTATATTTTTGGGAATATGTTGGGAACCATCCTGCCTGGTTTCAGAAGCTATAAGCCCTTTTGGCTAAGGCTGAGTAAAAAACTTTGGCACCTTAAGCCACTAAGGAGACAAAGCTTATCTTCCTGGCAGGGGTGTCACCTCTGCCCCTCTTACTTCACCCCACTTGGCCCCAGACAGATGACTGGTTATCCATTGACTGGTTAGCCAATAACGAGTAAGATTCCTCAAAGGAGGGATGATCTAAGACAGGCATAGTCATGAAAGGGCCCTCAGGGAAGGACTTAGGGGGCTATCAAAAAGGGGGTGATGGGCCCTCACCCCTCAGCTTTGACACAGCCTGAGTCCTCATTCTGTCTGCAAGAATTCTCTTAATCTCTTGGCTGCCTTACTTCCCCTACCCAATTTAAGCCTGAAACAATGCCTTAAACCTGAAACAATGCCAAAGGTGGGTGTAGCCCTGTGCTGAAAAGGGTGGGTTCCCTGGGGCTATCAGGCCTAAGAAAGACTGCCTAAAATCCTGTGAAACCTACTTTGCTAATACCCTCAATTTGAATGATAAGGGGTCCAAGGATAAAATGGGTTTGTTCCCCAAAGTTTTAAGGCCCTTCTCCTTTGAGAGATAAACCATCTTTCTTCCCCAAGCAGATCATGTCTTGGTAGATTTATTCTCATCCATGGCGGCCAGGGGGGCCCTAAAAACAGAGCCCCCTCCCCCCACCATGGGAATATATCCAGAGAAACCCTAAACACTAATTTCAAAAAACATGAGCACCCCTATGTCCATTGCAGCATTATTTACACTTGCCAAGGTAAGGAAGCAGCCCAAGAGCCCATCAATGGGTAAGTGGATAAAACAACTATGAGACATCTACATAATGCAATACTACTTGGCCACTGATCTACTTTTTGATCATTGAATCTGTTTCACTGATAATGGTTAATCAAATGGATCACTAATGTTTTTATGCCAATGCCACATGTTTTGATTACTATACCCTCATAATATGGTTTGAAATAAAAAAGTATGATGTTTCCAGCTTTATTTTTTTTTCTCGAGATGGCTTTGGTGTATTGGTGACCCTTTCAGGGTCATTGTGGTTCTGCACAAAGTTTAAGAGAGAGAGAGAGAGAGAGAAACATCGAAGCATGGTTGCCTTTGGCACATCCCTCACTGGGGACCTGGCCCACACCCCAGGCACATGCCCTGACTGGAAATTGAACCAGCAACCTTTCAGTTCATAGGCCGGCACTCAGAACTGAGCCATACCAGCCAGGGCAGTGAATGGTATTTTTTTTAAGTAATATAGTTTGCTGTGTGCAGAAACAATTAATTTTTATATTGTTTTATATCTTGCAAATTCACTAAATTCATTTATTAGTTCTAATATATTTTATTAAAGTTGTCAAGTATTCTGTGTATAAGGTAGTACCATGTGAAACAGACAATTTTGCTTCTTCCCTTTCCATATGGATCTCCTTTATTTCTTTTTCTTGCCTGACTGCTGTAGCTAGAACATCTGGTAATATATTGATGAAAGTGCAGCAAGAATGAGCATCTTTGT